GAAAGTGTGGAGCTGGATACTCTATCTCTCATAAGCCATCTCTCTTTTCAGAGCAACTTCCGTGGTAGGTACAGCCACAGTTTTCCAGCTTTTTTCTCTTGCTGCTGTCTTGCTTCAGTGCTGTGGGTTTTATCCCTAAGACAGGCATTTGAGGTTAGTGAGTTATAGAATTTGTTATGTGACAGTGCCTAACCCAGCTTTAGGGAAAAGAATAGGGGTTCTAGTTATCCATATATTTGGTTTGGGCTACATAATTGTTGCTTGAGCTTATCTCACACAGCTTATCTCTCATCCTTCTCCTTCTCCACTGGAGGGGATGGTTTTAAATTCAGAAACAGCAACATCTTTTTTTCTTATTGTGTCTTGAGGTATGGTTATGCCAAGCCTTTACATATATGAACATTCTGACGAAGAGACCTTTGGGTAGGAGGGGCCATATGATATTCTAGAAAAAGCTTGAGGATCTGAATTATTTGTTCCTTCAAATTTATTGTTTATGTGCCAAGGATTGCTTGTGGAAGTCAGAAGAGGCTCTCCCCTTCTACTTTATGTAGATTCTGTGGATTCAACTTAAGTTATTTATCATAAATGCTTTGTCTACCAAACTGCCTAGCTAGTCTGAAATCTGAGTTTTGATTGTAATTCGAACCATAAATATGCTTACTAGCTATGTGTTTCTGACAAATAATTTAAGCTTTCTGCCTCTCTCTTTTTTCATTGATAATGGGAGGGTAATAATAGTTCTTGCACATGATTTTGAAGTGAAGATTAAATCAGCTCATGCTTATGAAATACTTAGTATCTGATATAGCTTCAGTGTTCAGTAGAGGCCTCTGTTGTATTTTTGTTGTTGTTGTTGTTGCTGTTTCTAAGTTTACAGAATGTCTGTATCAGGTACTGTGCTAATTTATTCCACACATGGAACCACATTATTTAGACCAGACCATAATTCATGAGAAATAGATAGCCATCATCCCCATTTTACATATAAAGAATATATAACTCAAGCTTCAGTGGTAGGGTAGAATACTAACCTAGCATACATGCCGCTAGGTTCCAGCCTAGCCTCTTTGCCCCAAGTAAAAGTTGGCACCTCAGAAAATGCCTTGGCCAAGGTTACACAGCCAGAATTTGAATACAAGTGTGGGCTGAGTCTAGGACAATTCACATGTGACAATAGGACAGGTATAATGCTTTAACTGAGTGTTTCTTCTCTTTCTTAAACTGGAGTTAAATGGGACTGGATCTAACTCCAATTCTCTCTACTGAGATTTCTTTCCTCTGAGTCTGTCTTTCTTTCTTTCTTTCTTTCTTTCTTTCTTTCTTTCTTTCTTTCTTTCTTTCTTTCTTTCTTTCTTTCTTTCTTTCTTTCTTTCCTAGTTGTCTCTGCAGCCCTCAGTACATTCCTCAGTCTCCCTTGGGATTATTTTCTACTACTGGAGAAACTGTAGAAAGTAAGGGGTCTTTATAAGCTACTGTTTTAAGTGTGGCCATGGGAGTATTACAGCAGAACATTGATAAGAGTTTCTCAAGCATACTTGGTTACAAGTACCCTTGAGAAATCCAAAAGGACAAGTTGAGCCAATAACTAATAGCCAATATTATACTATATGCTATTTACTGACCACTTGGCAAAATACTAGACTTTTTACTGGATGCCTTGAGAATACTTCTTTTAAAACTCATATTAACTTAGGAAGGTGAGAATAACTCTTTCTAATTTCCATAATAACATAGCCAGGTGAGAACCATTTCTCAAGAAAATAGTAACTCAGATAGTTTGACTCTTGTAGAGTCATACCTGTAAAATTCTCATGCTTTTCTTCTCATTTCCTACTGGTTTACTATGGTTGGTAGGACAAAGCTAATGTATATAAAATGCTGATAAGCAATACAAAATAGCATGTTTTGATGGGCTAAATTATGAGAGCTAGATTACTTAAAAAAGATACCCTAGAGGAGATGACACTAGCAGTATACATTTATTTACTTTAATTTGTATAATATTTACAACCTCATGCCCATAAAGATGTATAAGTTAATGATTATTGGCAACATCTTCATTTTACTGTGATGGAAATGATAGGTCTGAGAAGTTGACACTTACCGACAGCAACAGAAGCTAGTAAGTGAGATGGGATTTAAATCAGAGCACTCCAATCACTTGGATAAATTCTACTAGAAAATGAATAAAGGAGAGTTGGAAAAGAACAGAGCTAGCTAGAGAGTGTAATTAGAGCATGGGGATCCAGCTATGATACGGTGTAGCTTATAGATACTCTGCTTTGAAAGTCTGATCTAATTTACATTTTCAGTAGGACATGGTAAGAAACTGGGAGTCAATGAAGATTCTTGAGTAGAGAGTGCCCTCCAACTCAGTTGTTATTTAACTGGGTAGGATATGAAAGCCATGATGAAATAAAACAATAATTTACTCTTTGGCCAGTGGACATAGTACTTTCTTTTATATTGATATTTTTTTCTTTTTTTAATTACAGTTTATTCACTTTGTATCCCAACTGTAGCCCCCTCCCTCATCCCTTCTAAATCCCACCCTCACTCACTCTTCTCCACCCATGCCCCTCCCCCAGCCCACTGATAGGGGAGGTCCTCCTCCCCTTCCATCTGAGCCTAGTCTATCAGGTCTCATCAGGAGTGGCTGCATTGTTCTCTGCGGCCTAGTAAGGCTGCCCCCACCCCCTCAGGGGGAGATGACCAAAGAGCCAGACACTGATTTCAGTGGACATAGTACTTTGAACACAATGTTGAGGGCAAGAGCAGTGGATTCTGGAAGGGGAGTTCTAACTCTATAAGGATAACAAAATGGAGGAGAAAGAAGGAGAATTGGTATATATATATATATATATATATATATATATATATATATATATATAT